ATGCAGCTAAGGAAAGGATCGTTTGCATTGATTCGATGATCCCAACTATGGTCAAATTTTATGTCACCAAGATTTATTTATCAACACTTTTGACTGTTAAGTATTTATTTTCGGCCCCCAAACATTCTTGGTCTGATAGTGTAATTATTTTTATGGCAGTGAATGCTGGAAAATCTCTTCATAGATGAAGAAGCGACTTGAAGAAAAAGAAATCTGGTTCTGCAGAAAGATGCTGAGAATACCATGGACGAAACATGTGAGCAACAATGAATTTTTAGAGAAAATGTAAACAAGATGGGCACATCAGGAAGAGAGAGATGAAATTTCTAGGTCACATAATAAGGAAAGAAGGCTTGGAGAATTTGATACTCATAGGACAGATTGAAGGCAAGCAGGACAAAGGAAAATAACATATAAACTACTTAGTGAGTCGTTATTTATTAAGAGCTGTGAAGAATAGGAAATTGTGGAGAGCCATGATCACTAATGTCCGGAAAGGACATGACACATTGAAGAAAAAAAAGTAAGTTGTTAATGATAAGAAGATCAGATGTCTAATTTTTTTTATATCATCATAGTCAGCACCCACTCGCATCCAAACATCGGGATCGTAATCCTCTATCGTTTCTCCAGAATAATTTTTATAGCAAATCATTATTTTTATATATTTTGCACATTCACCTAGAGGTATGGTGAATTTCTAAGCTGTGCTTAGATATGGCACAAGGCTAAAAGTGTGGAGCACCCAGTGAGAATTCACTACTCAGTTGTAACTTCTAGTGAGACTGGCTAGCTAACCATTACACCACATCAAGGTAACCTATGTGATTTGCTAGGTGTAGCTTAAATGTGGCACAAGGCCTATAGTATCAGGCACCCAGTGAGTATCAAATTCACTGCTCAGTCATAACTGTTTTAGTGAGACAGGCTAGCTAACCATTATACCACATCAAAGTGCCTAATGTGATTTTTCTAAGTGTAGCTTAGGTGTGGCGAAAGTGTGAAACACTCAGTAAGGATCGAATTAATTAGTCAGTCGTAATTGATCGCACAAGGCAAGCTTGCTAAAACCCTTACACCATGTCGAAGTAACCTAATTCAACTAGACATATATATATATATATATATATATATATATATATATATATATATATATATGCTATACTTCATTTTGTTTATATAAATGCTTGCTTTATTTTGTTTATAGTTGGGTGCATTTAGTTGCAAGAAATTTATTTGTCTATATTTCTGAGATGAGGTATTATGTACATTATTTACCTTATTCGGAATATTGTTCTCATCTTTGTCGCCATATTTATTACAACATTTCGGCCGTTGTATGCTCCGGCCTTCTTCAGGTGGTTGGAATTTTGAACTGAACCCTTTATTTCGCTCACTGGGGTAGACTGTTCTAGTTTCACGTGCCATGTTTAATGGGTGTCAGTTCAGTTATCTCCTGTTAATTTTCCCTCTGAAAGTTCTCCATTGCCTTAACCGGGTATTGAACTCACACTCTTTGGGTTCTGTCACTGGATCTAACCAACGCCTTTATCCACTGTTTATATAAATGCTTGCTTCATTTTGTTTATAGTTGGGTGCATTTAGTTGCAAGAAATTTATTATGTTGTTTTTCTGACTTTCTATGATGTTGACTTTCATGAGGATTATTTTAATTTGTCGATGACACAGAAAATCCGTTGTTTACAAGTTTTTGTTTGATGTTATTGACTTATTTGCAGGCTAGTGTTATGGGAAAAGCTGGTAAGTTTTCCTCTATTGATCAAAACTTTAATGACAACTATTTTATACTTGTGAAAGCTTTCACTATTTTATTAGGTGGTGTCGAAAAGTTCAGAGGCTAACTAGCAGGGGAGGCCTTCAAAAGATATTTTGGTGATTTGGTCTGATTCTGGGAAGTTGTTTGAGCCAAGATTTTTTCACCAACCCCCTTTAGTTATAGTGGCAGAAAATTGAACTAAGGTTACATTACACACACACACACATTTCCTAAAAATATATATATATATATATATATATATGTGTGTGTGTAAATCCTCCAGTTCAATATATATATATATATATATATATATATATATATATATATATATATATATATATATATATATTATGAAATGGACAAAGTCCGACGCTTATTTTAAGACATTTTTATGCTTATACGTTCTTTTATAGATAAAAATATTTAAGTAAATGCTCTGTTTATAATAAACAGTATTAATAACATTTACCGGCCTGAATGTCCGTGAAATTTTCATAGAAAATATTCATCATCCGACAGGAATCAAACCTGTATTCTATACGTAACCGTCATATAGCCTGACGTGCCATAACCGATTGAGCCACAGAGGATAGTTCGGTTAGCAAGGTCGATTTTACTGCTTTTAAACTACAATCTTCCATGAATCTCTCACTTACATTCATATCTGCTCAATGCGTATCCAAATGTAAAACATTCTTTTTATATATACAAATATTTAAGTAAATGCTTTGTTTATAATAATTTATTATAATTATTATAATCCTGACGGAACCACTAGCTCTCGTAAAATGTCTTTGCTGTAGGGAGCATCTTATTTAAAAAATGCCTTTTTTATTCTATATCACACAAGAAGAGAAAGATTAGTGTTTAATGTCATCATTATAACTTCTGTTATTGATGTTGTGCCCAACAGTAATAAATCCTGACAGAACCACTAGCTCTAGTAAAATGTCTTTGCTGTAGGGAATATCCTATTTAAAAAATGCCATTTTTTTATTCTGTATCACACAAGAAGAGAAAGATTAGTGTTTACACTAATTTTTGTTTATATAATGTCATGGATTTTCCTAAAATTGTTCTGATATATAAATAATTGGCTGGTACCATTTGAATTGACTTTTAGAGTCTCGGCGACATCTACATTTTGGCAATCATCTCACTTTATTTGTAGTGGGCAATGGAGTCAGAAGAATTAGCTCTTTTGTTGATTCGAATGAAATTTTATCAGATGCAAAATGATAAAGGTCAACGTTCATAAGCATTGTTTTTTTTTTTTTTGTTCTTTTGCTTTTATTTTATTTCATTTTATTTGAATCTTTTCTTCAGTGAAACTCAAGTTTCCAGTAACATTAAACCAGGATTTCAGAGCTTCTAAATATCAACTCCAAAATATCACTAGCAAAAATGTCGAAATAACTACATGTCTAAAATTTCTTGGAAAAAAAATGGCCTGGCAATTTTGGAATTTTGGGCTTTGTAGGACATTATTATTATTATTATTATTATTATTATTATTATTATTAAATAAAAATAAAAATATAAAATAATATTAGTTTCCAATTCATTTAAAGTAAAACAAATAACATTAAAACTTTGTTTAAAATAAATTAAATAAACTAAGAAAAAAAAAAAGAAGTTATCCCAGAATGCAACAGAAACATTTCCTGTCTAAAAATGGGCTTCGCAGCAAAAGACGATGAATTCAATCTCTTTGTTGGAAGGTCAAAGACGTCCAGCTCCTCTCTTCAGGTCATTGCTTGTTATAATATGGAGTGACTTCTTCCTTTTGTCACATGCATCCTTAAAACACTTATAACTAAAATACACATATACACCAGTATGCAAAAATAAATTGTATGATTTTAATTTACAATTTAAGATGCTGTTAGTATTATTTCCGTGTATGTTTTTATTCCTGTGAACACAAGGTTATCCCTGCTGCTATGATGTGAGTGACACCACAAATTCATTTATTTTGAAAATTTTCAGTTGAACTCTGAGACCTTTATTACAAACTTCAAGAGTTGAATCAAAGGGAGCTAGAACAATCTACTCCTGTGGACGAAATAAAGGGTTAATTTCGAAATTCCAATCACCTGATGAAGGCTGGAGCATACAATGGCCGAAATGTTGGGAGTATGGCAATAAAGACAACAATGTAAATAATGTAAATATCAAAACTTTGTTTTAAGTAAACGAAAGAAAAATAAAAAGTTCTCCCAGCAAAGAAAGCAGAAACTTTTCCTGCCGGAAAACAGACTTCGTGCCAAAAGATGATGAATTCATTCACTTCGCTAATGACTGTTGGAAGGTCAAGATGTCTGTCTCTTTTCCTTGGGACATTACTTATTGCAATATGAAGTGACTTCTTCCTTTTGTCACATGCATCCTTAAAACAATTGTAACTAAAATACACACACACACACACACACACACACACACACACACACACACACACACACACACACACACACACACACCAGTACGCAAAAATAAATAAATTGCATGGTTTTAATTTACAATTTAACATGGTTTTTGTGCTATTTCTGTGTATGTTTTTTTTCTCCTGTGAACACAAATCTATCCCTGCTGCTATGATGAGAGTGATCCCATGAATTCATTTATTTTGAAAGTTTCCAATTGAACTCTGAAATCTTGATTACAAACTGTCTTCAGAGCAGATAAGAGTTCTACCACGAGGAACAGGGCAACATACATTATGATGAAAAGGACAAAGTTTTATATCAATCCACTTTTGGGTGATGAGTGAAATTAATTAAATAATAATAATAATAATAATAATAATAATAAAGTTATCTCAGAATACGACAGAAACATTTCCTGCCTGAAAACGAACTTCGCGCCAAAAGTCGCTGAATTCAGTCTCTTCGCTAACGACCGTTGGGAGGTCAAGTTGTCTAGTTCCTCCCTTCAAGACATTGCTTGTTATAATACGAAGTGACTTCTTCCTTTTATCAAATGCAACCTTAAAACACTTCTAACCAAAAATACACACAACAGTACACAAAAATGAATACATCGTATGATTTTAATTTACAATTTAACGTGCTTTAGTGTTATTTCTCTGTATATTTATATTCCTGTAAACACGATGTTATTTCTGCTGCCATGATTTGAGTGACCCCACAACTTGCAGAGGGACATTAGACATCATAGATATTTATAACATGTGGGTATACTCTTCAGGAAGTTTAAGCAGAGCTTACGGTCATATCATGTTGAAACACCAGTTCTCGTATGACCATTAAAGTTAAGCAACGTCGAGACTGGTCAATACCGAGATGGTTTACCGTTAGGGAATACCAGGTGCTGTAAGCTGGGATATGCAGATCAGAATTCAAGTTGAGTTCATTAAATTTACTTGCTTGCAAAATGCTCTGGGAAAGTCATAAATCCACCTCTTCTCTCCCGAGCTATAGGTTAATTAGTAGAACTTGTATCAGTAAATCATTATAAAAATTCTGACCAGCTAAAAATATTTTCTAGCTCTGAATAACCTGATAATCCTTAAAAAGAAATCAATCAGTCACTCAATCAATCAATCAATATCTATCTCTCTCTCTCTCTCTCTCTCTCTCTCTCTCTATATATATATATATATATATATATATATATATATATATATAGATAGATAGATAGATAGATAGATAGATAGTAATCTGTTGGTATAATCCAGGCGAGTCCTATTAACACAACGTAGAATTTGAAATATGTTAAAACTGACTCACAAAAGAGCGCTCCATGTTTATTTTATTTTATATATTACTCACACAATATATATATATATATATATATATATATATATATATATACAGAGGTAGTAATCCGTTGATATAATCCAGGCTAGACCTATTAACACAATATAGAATTTGAAATATTTTAAAACTGACTCACAAAAGAACGCTCCATGTTTATTTTCAGTAAGCAGAGCAAATTTTCTTTACAATTGGAATTAAGATACCTTTAGTTAATGACCGTTTTCACCTACGAGTTTTAACTTTAAAATTTGCAGGATTTTTCCAACTTTTTTTATTATCGCAAAATTTCGAGGTCTCTTTTAGTAAGTTTTTAAATTGGCCCCAAAAGTAATTGTTTTGCATTTTAAATGAGAGAAAATTATTATACGTGGTTAAAAAACGTGGGACATGATTTTTTTTTTATTAATGACAAAAAGAAAAAAAGCAATTTATGGTTAAATTTTGCTCTCGTCAAAATATCCTCCTTTTGCCTTGTTTAATGCAACACAAATTTTTGGCATTCGTTGTAAAAGTTTCTCAAAGCAAATTGATTCCATTCTTTTATCAATGAGTCTAAAATCTCTCTTCCATTTATTTTCACTCTTCTGTCAAGTTCATCCCATGCTAATTATGGGGTGGTGGGTGGCTTCAAATTTTTGAACTGTAGTGTATATATATATATATATATATATATATATATATATATATATATATATATATGTATTTGGTTGGATAGGAGTTTGTGACCCTTGGTTTCACGAAGGATCGTCAGTGAAACCCCAGGGTCACAAACTCACATCTATCCAACCAAATATGTTAGCTCTATCTCTGATATTGAGCGCTTTCTAATAAGTAGCGCGTATAATATATAAATAATTATACATATATATATATTTATTTATATTTATATACACTTTTCACACACACACACACACACACACACACACACACACACACACACACACATATATATATATATATATATATATATACAAATGAAATGAAAAAAACAGATGGAGTAAAAATCCACAGTTTATAGCATTTTTTTTTTTAAAGTGCTTTATACAAAGTAGAGAAAAATATTATATTTTTATTATAATAAATTACAATAAAAACATTTTACATTGCTACAAAAACTTTCAGGTTTCGCTACTAAGATGCTACTTCTTCAGACGATGATAGTTAACTAATGATAAAAATGATTTTTTAGGGAAATTTAAATAACAAATCGTTACCTCTTTTCGTAAGTTAAAAAAGGGATATAAGGTCAGAATTAAAATTTGTAAATAAATTAGTTATCCCTAATATTAAGATCTTTACCACCACGTGCAAGACAATCGGAGATATAATTAGGAAGAAAAATAAACCCAACAGCAATTCTTATATCGTTGAGACAACACGAAATCTGAAAGACCATATCTACGAACATAAAAGGGATTTACGTTTGAATAACCATTTAAACTCGCTTGTAATACATAATGTTTTTGTCGTGTGTTTGTAGTTGGAATTATATATATTAGTAATACCTTGATGTATTTTCGACGTAACGAATAACGTTCGTTTTTCAGTAGGATGGCATTTGTAAAATCACTCTCCACTATTGATAGACTTCAAATGCATCTCCGAATCCTTGTGACAGAAGAATTACTTTCCACCCTCCAACCTTTCTCTCACGGGCAGGATGTAGCGTGTCTCTCACTATTCTATCGCTACTACCATGGAAAGTACTCGGACGAACTACACTTATTGGTTCCACCAGGTCTAACGTTCACGGCTAGGACCCGCCATGCCACTTGCACAGTAGCAAACTGCCCACATTCCCTTCATATTCCATCGGCGAGAAGTTCCATTCAAACAGCTTCTTCCCACGAATCAACGACCTGGACTCCCGAGAGACTCATCTGATTCCCTAGAGCATGTTTCCCCGACCATTACAATATTAACCTATTCATGTCTACAGTTAACCGTTATCTTCCCCTCTTAACCATATAAAGTACCTCTTAACGTAATCGTCTGCCTCGAGTGACCCCCCCCCCGGCCTTGTATAGGGTGGACCTTACTATAACAAATATCTGTCTGCGTGAGAGAGGGCGTGAGTGAGTAAGTATGTGTGTGTGTGTGTGTGAGAGAGAGAGAGATAGAGATAGAGAGAGATAGATAAAGAGTGCTTAATCAAGGCAAAAGGAGGATATTTTGACGAAAGCAAAATTTAACCATAAATTGCTTTTTTTCTTTTTGTCATTAATAAAAAAAAAAATCATGTCCCACGTTTTTTTAACCACGTATAATAATTTTCTCTCATTTAAAATGCAAAACAATTACTTTTGGGGCCAATTTAAAAACTTACTAAAAGAGACCTCGAACTTTTGCGATAATAAAAAAAGTTGGAAAAATCCTGCAAATTTTAAAATTAAAATTCGTAGGTGAAAACGGTCATTAACTAAAGGTATCTTAATTCCAATTGTAAAGAAAATTTGCTCTGCTTAATGAAAATAAAGATGGGGCGTTCTTTTGTGAGTCAGTTTTAACATATTTCAAATTCTATGTTGTGTTAATAGGAATGTCCTGGATTATACCAACGGATTACTATCTGTATCTGTCTATATATCTATATATCTATCTATCTATATCTATCTATCTATCTATCTATCTATAGATAGTGAGTGAGTGAATGAGTGATTAAGAGATAGATTTGAAGCTTGTGTAACATGAATAACTAAAGGCGGCCATTTTTTTCTTCCTGTCGAATTTAACCTAATTCTGAAGCAAAAGCAAAATATTATAAATAATCAAATATAAACAAATAGTATGATGACATCAAGCAACTTCATTTTATTTGACATTTGAGACTTGGGAAAACAAATTTTACCATTTTTGTTTATTAATCATTTCTTTATTTTGATTTCTTAGAATTTCTATCCGCTAAGCAACAAAATAATGTTAATGTTGATATTAGCCGTTCCCAAACAAGAAAATTTTAGGCATTCATCGAGCGAAGCATTATTAGCATCAGTGTCGATTGAAATTCATAAGGTCTTTTTCGGAAAATTAGATTTCTCAAGTTCAATAACTATCATCGATCTTTCTAAAATTGATAGAAGTTTCCTTCCTAACATTTTGCTTAAAGTAGTGTGGAATGTGAACATCTTGATGACGTCATTATTTTATCTCCGGAAAACACATGCTATCCATTTGATGTGGTTTCTGCTATTTGGTACAGGTCTTTGTAATTCTGTTGCGCCAGATAACGAGATCTAATAATATCGTATACTCTTTTTGAGGAGCCTAGTTCATAACATTTGGAAAGCAATGAACACATCCGAGTTATATATATATATATATATATATATATATATATATATATATAGAGAGAGAGAGAGAGAGAGAGAGAGAGGGAGCTGTCTATATTTCTTAGATAAGGTATTATGTACACCATTTTACATTTCGGACCATTGTCTTCATCTTTATTGCCATATTTATCACAACGTTTCGGCCGTTGTACGCTCGGTCTTCTTCAGTTGGTTGTAATTCCAACCACCTGAAGTGTACAACGATCGAACGAAATGTTGTGGTAAATATGGCAACAAAGATGAGGACAATGGTCCGAATAATATAATAGTATATATATATATATATATATATATATATATATATATAAAATCCATATTTCCTTTATATATATATATATATATATATATATATATATATATATATATAAATATGGATATATATATATATATATATATATATATATATACATATGTTGAGGTTTTTTCATGAATCTCGATGAATTACTTAATTATAATTATCAAATCCTCCTAATAATTTCTATCATTTGTATTTCATTGCTTGAATCGGCTTTTAATGCTCTAGAGTGAGCGGCTTGGTGATAGTAGTCGTGGCTCCTGGGGGCACATTCCTGTGGTTAGAGAAAATCTCAGTAGAGTTCCACCACAGGATATGTGAGAGAGCGGCGCTATATTGAGTCTGATTTTGCAACCACTTCGTCACGTTGGAACAGTTGGTATGACTTTTGCTTGATCACCCAACTGTCAGGGTTTCAATTCTCGGTAGTGGATGCGCACTGCTGATGAGTCTCAAATATAGGCCGAAACCGCCGTCTAGTGCTTTCTGCATTCTGTTGAGGTTTCTTTCAGACTCGATGAATTACTTCATTATATATATATATATATATATATATATATATATAAAATCCATATTTATATATACATATATATATATATATATATATTTTATATATATAAATCCATATTTATTTATATATACATATATATAAATCTATATTTGTTTATATATATATAAACAATAACTCTAAAAACAAACAAACATATATATATAAACAAATATGTATTTATAAAATACGACATTAAAAACTTTTATCCATCTATATCTGAAAAAGGTCTGCTGGAAACTTTGTAGTTCGCCAAAAGGCTATATAAACATAACACCTGATCAAACGGAAATAATTTTAACAATGCCGCAAATCAATTTTATTCCACAATGAAATAACCTGGGTTAAGAAATAAAAAAAAAGTGACGGCTTCGATGTACCAAAAGG